TAAGCACTTGATCTTGAACTCTAACCAAAGCTTTGATGCATCTTAAAGTAAGTTTAGCTTGGTTTCTAACATTGTTACCTCTCACTAATGCTTGTAGCTTCACTATCCCTTTTAATGCCCTTAAAGCTCTCCTCGCCTTTTTAAAAACATTAAAACACAAAAATTAGACATTTACTCGGATTTTACGAATAACATAAGATTTTGAAAGTTGCGATGATCTCCAAATCAATTAAAATACACAAACCAATAATAATAACGTTTTTTTTACTTACGAGGTAGCCTCTGAAAGATGTTTGAATAATAATGGCAGCCCAATGACGTCTAATAAAAACAGGAGTTGTTGTTAGCTTAACGACCTCGACGACTACGGGTTCTTCCACGGCGGAGACAGCCACCGCCGGTTTGTCTTCCTTCTCTGTCTCCGTCGTGGGAGTCATGTCGGTTCTAGACTTTGTGGTTTCGAGTTTGGTTTTTCGAAAAATCCATCCTTTCTTTTCTTTTTTCTGCAACTAAAAACATTTAAAAAAAACAAACAAACAAACTTTGGGGTTAATTAAAACACAAGACAAGACCCATGAATCTAAAAATGTATTATATGTACAAGGTTAAGTGGTAAGTAGCAGGTAGAGAATTGAGTTAAGACCTTGTTATAATCAGTAGTTTCTTTCTGGTGAATCTTCTTGTCGGAATCTTTTGACGGTGACCAGAGAATTATCTTCTTGACGGTCGTGAACCAAGACGTTCCGTTCTTCTTCGCCATCTTACAATAATTCTAAAATGGACGGATTCAAAGACAAAGAAAAGATCGAACTCAGCTATAAGTGAAGTTGATGGTCATGTAATTTAACTACTACACCACGAGACTGAGCAAGATAGCATAAATGTAGTAGTATATATACACGACAGAGACCATAAATGAATTTTAATTATGAAAATTAAAACAAGGGATATTATATCAAAAGTTTCGCTTAGTCAGTAAATTAAGGGATATTTCATATGCAGACATGTTCATTTCGGATAAAAAATAAAAGGGTAATAACGGTTAATAAGGATATTAAAATATCAAAACTCATTTTCTGAAGTTTCTTTTTACACATTTTCCGAAGTTTACTCGTAAGAAATGGATCAGAAAATACGGAAAACGGCTAAAAACCAGATTCAAGTAATTACAAATAATTTTGCACAATAATAATAACAACTTGGATAGTTTCCAATAATTTTTATATACATATATATAACTAATTAATATTATTGATAATTATTTCTAAGAGAAACGTTTATCTAAACGGATAATTCAAATATATTTTTTGACTATTCGATCGGGTTTTTTTTTGCCGTTGAAATAAATATTATGTTATTTTCTTTTGTAAGAAAATGAATATTATGGATAAAAAGAAAATGAATATTAAGGATCGAATTCAGGTAAGTTCATGTGACCCGATCGGAAATGAACATGCCAATTCTCTTGTGCATGATTTTTGGTACATTATAAAAAAGTTTCACTTTCTCACCTAGAAGCTGAAGAAAAGGTAGAAAATATTAACAGCTGTTGATAAATCAATAATGATTGTGCTCAAACAAAAATAACAAAATTAAGAATAGACTAAAATATTTGTGATGATTAAATAACAAACGGAGAGGAGGCATCAGAAATATTGCAGCTTTTGGTTATTTTAAAATATTAAAAGGCAAAGCACACTTGAACATTAATGTATATACTTTCAAGATTTGACGGTCCAAGATGACATTGTATATACTTTCAAGAAGAAGATAGCTACAGACTTTAATGCCTCGTTGTACCAAGAATCCAAAGTTCCCAAATGATTTTTATTGTTTTGAAAAGAAAAATCTTCTTTTGTAAAAATTGTATTTGAGCACTCTTTCTTTCATTGGCTTCACGTGTTCCACAATATAGATTCCAGTAATTCCATTTCTCGTGAATTGCAAAATGCAAAGAAGACTAGTATCAAATATTATAAGTAGCTATAAGATTTGGCGTAGAGAATGTAGTCTTCAAGAACTGTAACGTTAAATGAATTCTTATAATAGTGAAAGAAATCATATTCGATGTATTTTTTATCTAGAGAAACTCGAGTGTTTTTCATTCACCCAATGAGTCAATGACCCAATCAGAAAATTAATTTCTCAGTCCTACCAACTTCAAATTTGGATTTGGTATTGTGGTTATTTTAGCATATGCAATAAAACAAATTTTAAACAAACATATTTATCTTAAATTTAAATTACGGTTATAACTCGAAATGAAAACCTCAATGGTAAACCTTAAAATATAACTTAAATTCAATAAAAAAATATAAAATAAATGATTACAATCAAGTATGATAACCGGAATCTCTTTCGAAATGACTAGTTTTTTATAATTTTATTCAAATACAATTAATTCATTTGAATAAATTATAAACTTTAAAATACCGTTTATTATAGAATTACGTATATATGCCGTAATTCATTTTTTAATTAAAATATATCATGATCCTTACAGTAAAAAGTTTTAAAAAAGACATACCATATCAAATATATATATATGTTTTTTTTTGGAACATCTGTTAAATTGAACTTAAGAAAAAAATTTTACACACTCAATTGAGCAAATGTTGAATACATATAGGAGTAGAATTATGAATACAACAAGAGGTATAATGAGATTGTCCTATATGCGCGAGCTTATCTGCTACTTTGTTTGCCATTCTCCCAATGTGGACCACTTGAACATCTACCTGTCGATTGATCTAAAATTGAATAAATTGGATCAAATTTTTCATTGCTATGTCATTTCTTCGTCCATGTATTAGTTCTACGAGAGTTTGTGAGTCGCCTTAAAAAATTAACCAATGGTAACTACGATACCATATTAATTGTAGAGCATGTAACAGGTTTAATCCTTCTGCTTCAAGAGCCGAGTTTGCTTGTGGTAGGAAAGCTGATGTTGCAGTGATAAAATCACTGTTGGAGTTGCGAATGATCCATCCAGTGCCAACGAGTCTGCTTGATGGGTTGAAACTTGCATCGTGGTTGCATTTAAGCCATCCGGTTGGGGGCCCGTGACCAAATGAGAGTATGTTGTTCCCTTGAATTGACATTACGTTGTGGTGGTGGAGGGGTATTTGTTTCTGTCCATCTGAATGGATATATATATATATATGTGTGTGTGTTTGATGAAAAAAATATGCATGATATTCAAATAATTTGAGTCGCTCGAAGATTGATGCTTTATGCTCAAGAAATATTCAAACAGTTGATAGAACATTGTCAACAACTGATTCCAGAATTAAATAGACCTGCTAAAATAAAATCCAT